GCTAAAGGCCACACTCAAACAGAAGCATGAAGATCCCCACACAGACCTCGAGGGACTCCAGACTACTGGAGTCAGTGTAGTAAGGAAGTTGTGCTTGCTTCTGTCTGACAGTGTGGTTAAGGGGGTTGTATGAGGCTCCCCAATCAGCTGCTCTGCTCTGCTCTCCTCTCCACCTTATGAAGTCTGCCCTCTGGCACTGCTTGGAAGGGATTCTAAGACTGCTTTTTTGTTGGTTTTGAGACAGGGTCTCACTATGCAGCCCTGGCTGACCTGGAACTTGCTATGTAGACCAGGCTGGCCTTGATTTCAGAGTTCAACTGGAATTAAAGTGGGGGCCAGTGTGGCCTTGTTTCATTTTTATATTATTTTTTATTTTTATGTCTATGAGTGTAATGCCTGCATGTAGGTAGGAGCACCCGTGCCGTGTAATGCCCATGGAGGTCAGAAAAGGGTGTCAGATCCCCCGGAACTGGAGTTACAGACGGTTGTCAGCTGCCATGTGGGTGCTGGGAATTGAACCCAGGTCCTTTGCAAGAGCAGTCAGTGCTCTTAACTACTGAGCCATCTCTCTAGCCCCTTTTTATTTTTTTGGTCTTTTTGAGAGCGTCTCCCTGTAGCCCCAGCTGTCCTGGAACTCACTATGTAGACCAGGCTGGCCTTGAACTCATGGAGATCCACCTGCCTCTGCCTCCCAAGTGCTGGGATTAAAGGCGTGTGCTACCACGCCTGGCTCCCTTTTTATTTTTTTGAGATGAGGTCTCACCATGTAGCCCGGGCTGACTTTGAACTTGAGATCCTCCCGCCTCAGCATCCCAAGTGCTGGGCTCATGGGTATTGCCACCACTCGGTGCTCTGTACGCCTTCCTGTATGAAGTCCAGTAAAACAAAACAATGTTCATCTCACATGGCCAAGGCAACTATCTGTTCAATCATTATTTATTTGTCTTTTTGAGACCTGGAACTCACTATGTAGACTGCCTGCCTCTGCCTCCCAAGTGCTGGGATTAAAGGCGAGTGCCACCATGCCTACCTCAATCATTCTTATTCTGTTAAGTGCTGCGCTGTAATCCATTCTTAGACTCTGGTAACCCCTGCCCATACAAGGCTTATATGTGGTACATACCATCAGCTTTCTGCTCCTTTTCTTTTGGTTGAGGCAAGGTCTTGCCCTGTTGCTCAGGCTGGCTTGAAACTCCCAGGTGCAAGTGATTCTCCTGTTTTAATTGTGTCTGCAGACTCAGCATGTTTGTTAGGTTTTATGGTATTTTTTTGGTTTGCTGTTTTTATTTTTTGTTACTATTTTTGAGACAGGGACTCCCTGAAGCCCCAGATGGCCTGGAATTTGCTATGCAGATCAGGCTGGCCTTGAACTCACAGAGATCTGTCAACCTGTTTCCCCAGTGCTGTGGATTAAAGGTACATACCACCATATCCAGATAAATTATTTATTTTGGCAGCTTCCATGGATAGTGATGGAAGCTTGGGTCCTTCTCTGGTTGTTGGTCCTGAGTAGAGAGAGGGGATCAGAACAGCAAGGGCAGGTTTGTAATGACCTACACAGCAGACTGAGGCCCCAAGTGCTCCCCTGTGGAGCTCTAGAGCTGGGGTGACCTTCTATTCCAGAGTTTTCAGTTGAGACAAGAGAGTGGCCACTGTGTCCTCACCCCTCACCCATGCTTCTACCCTTGTGGTACTGCAGGGGTCAGTCAACTTCTTCTGTAAAGAGCCAGCTCCAAGTTGCTAATACTCAAAATCCTGCTGAAGCAGCTAGTGACACAGTAAAAATGAGTGAGCATAGCTGGGTTTCAATAAATCTTTATTGATTTAGACTAGGCGCCTCATCTGCTGACCCCTGCACTACTCTAGTGGCTTGCTTTTGAGACAGGGCCTCCCACTGTAGCTAGCGCAGTCACCCTTGAACCTGTGATGTTTCCTGATTGATGGGATTATAGATGTGGGCCAGTCAGCGTTTTGTCTTGGGAGCTGAGAACATTGTTTTCTTGAGACTACCTTCAGTGCTCAGCTCAACTCTGCCTCCTTCCTGATAGACTTCCGAACTCCCCAACTCACAAGCCTTTGTCATCCTGACACCAGTTTAAGTCTTTGAGACAGGGTCTCATGTAGCCCTGGCTGGCCTCAAATTTACTATGTAGCAGAGGTGACCTCAAATTTCTGATTCTCCAGCCTCCACTTCCAGGGCTGGGATGACAGGTGGGTGCCACCACATCCAGTTTTTGCAGTACTAGGGATAAAACCTAGGGCTTCAGACATGCTAGGCCAATGCTCTACCTTCTGAGCATCTCACCCACCCTAGTTCTTCACTCCCGCACTAGAATGTCCACTGAATGGACGGTGGGGCTTTGTCTTGATCCTGACTGATCCCCAGACACTGGAGGGACACTAGCCACTCTGGCTACTCAGTGAACATGTGGCCAGCGGGCGGGGGATGAGCAGCCTGTCCTCTCAGCCAGCCCAGGGATGGCCTCAGGGCCAGCAGAGCTGGTTGGAGTTTGTATGAAATCATTCTCTCCTGAGGTGCCTCTAGGACAATTTTGTTTTGTTTTGAGACAGGGCCTGAAACTTGCTATGTAGACCAGGCTGGCCTCGATCTCACAGAGATCTACCTGCCTCTGTCTTCCAGTGCCTGGCACTGTAGGACATCTTGATCTCTCCAAGCAAGAGCTAGCCCAACAATGAAAGGGACATAGGGACAGCAGGGCCTGCCTGGGGTGGAAAAGACAGTCCTTGACATACATCCAGGCTGTGTGAACGGGTACAAATGGGCTTTTGTTTGTTACATCCTTAGGTCTGGAGTAACTGGGGGGATAGGTGGTCTAGGTACAGCCTAGCCCCATCTTTCCACACCGTCAAGGATGGGGTGGGTGTCACTGAGAAAACAAGCTTGTGTGCAGTTGTCCCTCATTGGGTTGTGAGCTCCGTAAGGCTGAGTTTGAGGCTGTCCAGGGCTCAGCTAGAACCCCTGGCACGAATAGGGCACACAGTGAACAACTCAGTGAATCTTCCTCCAATGGGAAACAAAGGAAAGCTTTTCTAAGGTTAATGTGAACTTTTACATTTATTCCTTGTAGCAGACAACCTCAAAATCCTGATCCTCCTGCTGCCATCTCCCAAGTGCTGAGACAAAGGCATGTGCCACCATGCCAGGTACGGTATGGGGCTTAGATAGTGTCTTGTTAGGTAGCCCAGGACGGCACTGAATTTGCAGTGATGTTCCAGCTTTAGCAGGAAATCTTCACATGCAATGATTACAGGCCTTCACAAGCCATCAGTTCGGTTTTTTTTTTGTTTTTTGGCAGCCATTTCCCTGTAGCTCCAGCTGGCCTGGGAACTATGTAGACCAGGCTGGCCTCAAACTCATAAAGATCCACTTGCTTCTGCCTCCTGAGTTCTGGGATTAAAGGCAGGTGCCACTACACCCAGGTGTTTGGCTTTTTTGAAATTTTGAATTACACTTTCTCTGTGTGCGTATGTATAGGTCTGCACACTACAAGGTACATGAGGATGTCAGAGGACAACCCGTGGGAGTTCGTTCTCCCATTCCATCATGCAGATTCTGGAAATCAGGTTGTCAGGCTCCATCTCACTGGCCCATTGGACATGTTGAAACACACCCACCCCGCATAAATTAGAAGACCACCAGTTTCACTCATATATTTATTCTCACCCCTCACCCCACGTAGGAAAATATGTAACACTGCAGCCAGTAGGAACCCAGCATCATACACCTCTGCTGCATCTTCCCACACCCCATCTTACTGCCTCCCCTCGCACTGTCACTGACGTGAGTGAGGCCGCACACAGGACTAGGCAAGCTGAGATGCATCAGGGCTGCTGGAAGGCTCCACCAGGGTCAGGATGGGTGGCAGGCTCCGGAGGTGGGGCTGGGACCCAGACCACCTGACTTCACATCCTGCCTCTTCCTCCTCTGGGTGACCTGAGCAGATGATGTTCCTTCTTGGTGCCTCAGTTTCCTCACCCAGCAAATAGAGAAAATATTCTCATGGGGCTCCACAGAGCACGTAGATCAGGGTGGACACACCTTATCAGAGCAATGAAACTGCTCTATTGTGGCAATGACTGACCACAGCTCGGTGGCCACTGCGGACTGATGCAAGGTGGGGTAGTCAGAGCTGGCCTTGTTGACCTGTCAGAGCCAGACTGGACCCCAAACAGGTAACCATGGAAACTAGGCACTGAGCTTCTCCCGTCCTCCCCTCATGGCGCAGCTATATCTGTCCCTGGCCTTTGTTGATGTCCGCATTCTAGTTTAGCCACTCTCAAATTTGAAAGCACCCCTGATGTCACCCATCCCCTCAGCTTCCCCTATAGCAGTGTCTCCCTCTTCTCAAAGGAGTAGAGACCCGTCTCAGAAGCTGCTTCTTGGTTCTCTATTTGGGGAGCTTCGTCACTTTTACCCCCTTGGGGAAGTGAGGGGCAGAGCCAACCCCCTTATCTCTAGCAACATTGGCCGAGTGAAATGAACCTCCTCACTATGAGTGAGATTTTAGGGGGGAGCTGGGCTGTTCTGACAGGGGACTTGCCCCCCACTTCTAGTGCTTCTGGACTCTGGGGAGTGTTTGGGACCATCAGGTCTCTTCAGATCTATGGCACCTTGTCAAGTCCTACAGCTTTCCTCCCCTGGGTCTTAGCTTCCCAATGTGGGAAAGACTTGTATGATGAATCTTGGCCCTCTCCCACCACAGCCAAAACGCTCTTTTTTTTTTTTTGTCCAAGTTTTCTTTTTTAAGTCTTTTTGAGATAGGGTCTCCCTGAAGTCCCAGCTGGCCTGGAACTATGTAGACCAGATTCTTCTTTATTCTTTAACTTTTTTTGTTTTTTTGGGGAGACAGGGTCTCACTATGCAGCCCCAGATGGCCCAGAACTCACTATATAGACCAGTCTAGCCTTGAACTCACAGAGATCCACCTGCCTCAGCTTCATGAGTGCTCGGATTAAAGGCATGTGCCACCATATCTGGCTTTTTTTTTTTTGAGACAGGGTCTCACTCTGTAGTTTTGACTCAGGCCTTAGCCTCATGTGTGCTGGGATCACTGGTATATGCCAACACGTCCAGCCTGCTGTATTTTTAGTGAATGCTGGGCCCAGTTTGGAGGTGTGATTTATGCAGCTCATACATCCTTAAAATGTCTCCTTACTCTGAAGCTCCTTCCATCAGGAACCTGGGGCAGTGACTGCTTGGCCCCTAGTGTCCCGAGCCACAGTGCTGATCCTAGTCCTAGAGCCAAGTGAAGGCTACTTAGTGGCCGATGGCCAGCAGACTCTTAGTTCAGATGAAGCAGGTAAGGAGCTCAATAGTGCAACTCCACATTGGGACCTGTCACTGCATCCCTATTTAGAACAGGGTTTTTTGGCGATATTAGATTCAGGATCTTGCAGTGTGGTCACCCTGGATTTAGGATGAGCCCCGCAATAAGGGACAGGTGTCCTTGTAAGAGACAGAAGAGAAGGCCACAGGAAGACAAAGATGGATTCCAGTAGACCTGGAGTCCCAGAACAGGAAAGGGAGTGCCGCCTCACCCCTGGCTTCCAGGACTGTGGGAGAGCAGCTCCCCATGTCTCCTGCCATCACTCCCAGTGCTGTTTCATGGTGGCCCTGGGGACGGGGCAATGGCGGTGGGACCAACTGGCAGCCTAGTCCAGTGTAAACAAAGGAGGGGACCAGGAGTGCATGGGGGGGGCATCTAAACCCGTGGGCCAAGAGGCCAGAAAAATGCCACTGAGGAAGGACAGAAGGACAGGAAATATCGTGCTATCTAAAATTAGGTCCTTGGACTCCAAGAACAGGCAGGTGGTGCCAATTAGAACCAATTTGGATCGGTCTCCAGTGTGGGAGGGAGGGACTCAGGGACAGTGACACAGATTGAGGGGTGAGGGGAGTTCTGTAAGGACATTCCCCTTGGGGCCTCAGAGGAAAAAACAAAAGCCAAGCTGAGGAAGAGGTAGGATGGGTGGGTGGGCTGCAGTTCTCCCTCTCCACAGGAAAGCACAGGTGCCGGGCTGCTGCTCACCTAAGGTGAGTTTCACCGTGGTCTGTGCCCACAAACAAAAGGAAGGGATGTTTGCCTGATGACCTGGTCTAACCAGGTACACAAGGCACAGGGTAACATGAAAAGGCCATCTAGCTCAAGCTCTGGTTCCATTTTTGCCTTTGCCAGAACAGTGGGAGAGACATGAAGTCTAGAGACGTGAACGTTAAACATGGTTCAGGGTTGGGGGCTGAGCACTACTGAATGCTGCCCAAGTGTGAGAGGTTGAAGGGGCTTTGTCTAAACTCCACATTTGCTGGGGCACTCCTGGGGGAGATGCCCCGCTTCTGTCAGGGGTGGGGTTGACCCAATGCCACAAATTCATCAAGGTCCTGGTGGCTTCCACTAGGCCACCACAGGCCCGGTGGGGTGGTGTGGGGAGAAGGCCACACTGCGGCACGCGGCCACAGACAAGTCCACCTTCAACAGTCTGCTATTTTTTGGATGAAGATGCTGCCTGGCTCTGCTTGGGAGGGGAGTGTGCCTTGCAGATCTGGGTGCGCACATCCTGTAGCTCGGCTCTCAGCTCCTCCAGGGCGCTCAGCGTGGGTGTCGCCTGTGTCTGGGCCTGCAGCGCCTCCACCGCCAGCGCCAGGTGGCCCACCTCGTCCCGCAGCGCATCCCAGGCTGCTCGCTGCTCCTCTTCCTTGTTGCGCTGCGAGGTCTGGTGGCGCCAGTACTCCAGGACCAGGCAGCCTCCGCCCACAATGAAGATGGTGGCCTCACCCAGCAACTCTGCGCCCAGCTCAGCTGCTGCCTCCTCATTCAGCGGCTTGATGGCCGTGCCCCGGAAGCCCATGATCCGCATTTTGGTCCGCATCTCCACCCAGTGGTACACTGCAGGGGAGAGAGGGGTCAGGTGTGCTCCACAACCCCAGCCAAGCCCACCCTCCATGCTTTCTTGCTCCAGGCATAACAGTGGGAGACAAGAAGTTCAAAACCAAGATGGTGGAATGGGGGTTTGCCTCACCAGGGTGGACATAGTCCCTGCTGGGGTGATGAGGGCTTCTTCTAAAACAGAACCCAGGGTGTCATGCATGCTAGATATGTGCTTTACCACTGAGCTACATCCCAGTCCCCCCCCCCCCTTTCGTTTTTGAGACAAGAGTCTCATTATGTAGCTCCAGCTAGCAGGGAACTCACTATGACCAGGTTGCCCTCCAACTCACAGAGATCCACCTGCCTCTGCCTCTCAAGTGCTGGTGTAGAACCCTGAGACCCTCTTCATTCACCCGCTACTCCCCAATCCCTCCAGACCCCCCACTAATTGCTCTTTTAGCTTCTGTAAAATGCTTGGCTGCTGCTTTAGATATGCCTAGACATACCCTGGCATGCCCTGACCCCCGCCTGCTATTCCCCATCCCCCTTCCAGGAAACTATAGATTAAGCAAGCCGGGCATGAAGAAAACTGCCCTATAAGGTAAAAACAGAGACTCCTGGCCCCACAGGTAACAGTCAGCACATTCCACAGCCCTGAGAATAGCACCTACCAATAAGAAACTTCCAGGGCTGCATCTTATACATCCAATCGGTTTAAAATTATGTTGGCGCGTGCGGGCTCCTTGAACCAACCAAAATGTATCTTCGGTATCCCCCTCCTCTCTGTTTAAAACCTATAAAAGGCTCCACTCTCCCTTACTCTGGGCTCTCAGCATGGATCCGTTGAGTTGGTGAGGTCTGAGAGCCTGAGCTTAAGCACGAATAAACCATAAACCTTTGCTTTTGCATTTTGGTGTGTTGGGTCCTCGGTGGTCTTTTTGGGGTCCAGTGGATGAGGTACAACACTGGGATTAAAGGTGTGTGCCACACCTGGTGTCCCAGCATTCTTGTTAATTTTTATTACATATACAATATGTATATTTGTTGAGATAGGTTCTCATGTAGCTCATACTGGACTTGAACCTATGTAGCCAAAGATGACCTTCAACTCCTGATCCTGGTGGCTCCACGTCCCAAGTACTGGGATTACAGGATGCCACACCATGCCTTTCAGGTTTTACTTTTTTTTTTTTTTTGGTCTTTTTGAGACAGGGTTTCCCTGTAGCCCCAGCTGGCCTGGAACCCACTATGTAGACCAGGCTGGCCTTGAACTCAGAGATTCCCCTACTTCTGCCTCCTCAGTGCTAGGATTAAAGGTGTGCACGACCACACCCGGCCTAGATTTTACTTTTTTTTGAGATGGGGTCTTAGGGTTTCATGTAGCCTAGCCTAGCCTTTAACTCCCAATCCTCCTGCCTCAGTCTCTTGAGCAGTCAGAATTATAGGCCTGCAGCACCAGGCCTACGCCCAGCTCCAAGGGCATTCAAAGCAAAAGAAGATTCCAGAAAGCAGCCTGTAGGGTCCTGGGATGGGAGGCCAGGCCTGGTGGATCACAAGCAGCTCCCTGAGTGCAAAGAACACACATGTAAAGGTTCAGTGGCCAGATACTTAGCTCCTCTGCAGCTCCTTACGTCACCACACAGACTGGCTGGCTGTCCTCCTCCCCTGGCACTGCCCCCAACTCCCTTTCCTCACCTTCCCAAAGTGCACAGTGAAGGTTCCAGTTGTGCTGGGGTTGGGGCGACTCCAAAGAAAGGCCAGTTGAGGAGTACCTCCTCCAGACTCCAGGCAGCCAATCTGTGTTGTTGGTCTGGAGGCTCCAATCCTAGGTTCTCAGCATACCCTTCAAGGGGGCTCAGAGTGGAGTGGTGCTTCAGGAGCAGAGCTCTCTTTGCCTGGCTGCATCTCTACTCAGCACTGGGTGAGCCTTGAGCATGTGGAACTGGTGCTTACCCTCACGGGCTCCAGCATCATGGGTACCCATCCAGTGGGGTGGGATGGAGGGCACACCCTGGTATGCTCCTTTCCAAATGCACTTCCAATAGAGCTTTGTTTTGAGATGGTCTCTCTAGCTTTGGCTGACCTAGAATTCACCATGGAGACCATACTAGACGGGTCTTGAACCTGTCTACCTTGGCCTCTTGAGTTGCTGGGATCACAGGCATGCAGCACCATGTCTGCCTTTGTTTTACTTTTAATTACTACTATCATTAGCAGTTCAGAGACATGGTCTATGTCACCCACTGCCCTGAAACTCCCACTGTAGCTCAGGCATTGACTTGAAATCCATGTTGGAATTAAAGGTGTGTGCCTGGCCAGGCTCTGTTACTCTTTTTATCTGGTCTCATGAAGCCCGTGGTCCTCCTGCCTTCACTTTCCAGGTGCTGGGACTACAGGTCTGCATTTCCACACTTGGCTTTATTCATTTGAGACAGATCTCACTGTTGCCCAGGCTGGTCTCCAGCTCTTAGGTTCAAGTTATCCTGCCTCACCCTCTGGTGTAGCTGTGACAAGCATGTACAAGCATGTTAGCTTTCATTTAATCCCTGACATGATTATTCAAGAGAGGGTATATCATATATTTTAAAATGTGCATTGTAAGTTGCCTGTCCAATTTATGTTATTATTATTTGTCTTTTTTTTTTTTTTTTTGAGACTGTGTAGACCAGGGTGGTCTTGAATAAACAGAGATGGGCCTGCCTCTGCCTCCCAAGTGCTGGGATTAAAGGTGTGAACTACACCTGGCTATTTATTTTATTTATGATAGTTTTTTTGGGAATTGGTTTCATGTGGCCCAGGCTGGCTCTCCTGAGTACTAAGATCACAGGTCTACACTACCACGCTTGGCTCATACCTGTTAGTTCATGTGAGAAGGAAGATGTGTGTGGCAGTATGAATGCACGTGTTGAGTGTGCACATGCATGTGGAGACCAGAGGTCAACCTGGTATTATTCCTCAGTCCCCATCCACCTTGTTTTTTTTTTTTTTTTTTTTTTTTTTTTTTTGTCTTTTTGAGACAGGGTCTCCCTGTAGCTTCAGCTGTTCTGGAATTCACTATGTAGACCAGGCTGGCCTTGAACTCACAGAGACCCGCCTGCCTCTGCCTCCCCAGTGCTGGGACTACAGGCATGTGCCACCATGCCCGTCTTATAAAAAAAATTATTTTTTATGTGAATGAGTGTTTTGTTTGCATGTAAGTACATCATAGCATGCAATACCTGCAGAGGTCAGAAGAGGGCATTAGATCCCCTGGAACTGGAATTATGGACAGTTGATAGCTGTCATGTGTGGAGTGGGAACTGAACCAGGGTCCTCTTCAAGAGTGGCCAGTGCTCTTAACCACTGAGCCATCTGTCTAGCCCTAGCTCCTAATTTTTAAATTAAATCAATTCAGGAAAACCATTTTAGCTACAGAATCTTAGTCACATACACATAACATTAAAAAAAAAAAAAAAAAAAAAAAAAAAAAAAAAACTCACTTTCAATATGAAGGCATGGTTATATTACCATTTAAAAATAGCTGCAACTGGCCTGGAACTCTGTGAGTTCCACCTGCCTCAGCCTCCCCAGTGCTGAGACTAATGGCTTTTTTTTTTTTTTTTTTAAATTTTATGTTGTAAAGTGTACTGGTGGACCCATGCTACCTGTCTCTCATTCTGTCCCTCCGTCCCATAGCAACCCTGTTGCCCTGTCCTGACACAGTATGAAGGCCTGCACAAATGCAGTGGAATCTTATCTGGATCATGAGCCAAACATTCCATTCATTATGAATTGCCCTGCCTCTGTTGTTTCGTTAAAGCAACATAAGACAAAGACACCTCACACTCCACATGCCCAGTTGCAGCTCCCAGAATTTCTCCTGCTGGGTTTGCCCTGGTCTATCCCACCCAAGAAAGCATTTCAGCTACGTGCCTGGTCCATGTTCCCTCTGCAATGCCTCACTCGCCAAGGTCCTGTCCCCCCATCCCAGTGGCCCATTTCTTCAGGAAGGAGGGCCATCTTTATGTTCACTTCAGAGCTCCCATCACACCCAGGAAGCAAGGTCACCTGAGTGGTTGTCTGCAATGTGCCACCCCTGCTAATGCTGCAAGCACAGCAGGCCATTACTTCCCCAGCACCCGTACAAAGGCCATGCACATGGACAACACTCATCATCTCTGTGCTTAATGCATCCATGGGTCCCTGACCTGCCTTGCCTTATAACTGTCCTCTATTGCCTTGGTCAGAAGAACTGGTTGAAACAAAGAAAGAAAAGCTGAACCAAAGAGCCTACTATTTGTTTACTCAAGAGAGTGACAGGTGTGGTGGGGCACATCAATTGGACCACATGTAACCACTTGGGAAGCTGAGGCAGTAGAATTTTGAATTGGAGGCTAGCCTGTGCTACACAGTAAGACCATGTCTCCAACCAACCAACCAACCAACCAGCCACCCAATCAAATCAAGAACTACATAAAAACAAAGTAAATTATAAAATGCAAAGTCAGGGCTGGGGAGATGGCTCAGTGGGTAAAGTGCTTGCAATAAGAACATGAGGACTTGAGTTCAAATCTCCAAAATTCATATAACCTGCACCCACATGTGCATCCCATTGAGTTTGGGCGCATGTATGTGTGCACAGATGTGGGTGCTGCCTCAGGTTAGTTTCTCATAATGTTCTATTCCCATGTTTCCAGTAACATCATGTCACACATAGCCCACTCACTTCTTCCATCAATTTATCAACAAAATGCAAAGCCAACCCCTATCCTCAGGCAGTGCTGGTGTTACTATGGAAACATTACAATGATCTGAAAAGGGGCTAGAGAGATGGCTCATCGAAGATGACCACTGGCTGCTCTTGCAGAGGACCTTGGTTCAGTTCCCAGCACCCACCTGGCAGTTAACAACTGTCTGTAACTCCAGTTCCAGCAGATCCAACATCCTCTTCTGACCTCTTCGAGCACTGCACAACACAAGTGCACTTACATACACTCAGACAACACACTCATAAACATAAAATATAAATAATAAACATA